CCTTCCTTCCTTCCTTCCTTCCTTCCTTCCTTCCTTCCTTCCTTCCTTCCTTCCTTCCTGAATCTGTTCCCGTCAGCTGCCATGTGGCTGTGGGAACATGGGAAAATGAAGAAGCATACTGTGTAGTTCGGCTCTTGGGATGCAGGTGTGTGCAGCCACAGATTTTAGCAGGTACTATTGGAAAAGTAATGTTTGCAGCTAGTGATGACATTCAGACAAACCTTGGTTTGTTCATTACAGACGCAAACACTGGGTTGGATCCAAATTAAATTTTCTGTCAATAGAATGGAACTTTCTTGCCTCCTTCCCATTGCTACTGATCTCCACAAAATTTTGCTCTTAGGGGATAGGGGATCGTGAGGAATGGCATGAAGGAGTCTACTGCAGGAAGGGGAAATCAGTGGAAATTGCCACTTTACTCTGGATCGAATATCTTATGTTTTCTCTCCCAACTCCTCCCCTTGTGCATTAGGCATAATACAGGATTAAACTGAGAATTCCAGTTTGTTGGAACTCAGGCATCCCAGCAGATTTGGAACTGAAGTCTTTCTCAGTGAGGAAGCCTTCCGTTGTGCTCTGTGTCTCTTTTATTTTTACTTTATTTATAGCCTGCCTTTCTCATTGAGACTTGAGGTGGATGGAGCACGAGAGGAGGCTGTGTTAGTGCCTGCCATGGGCAGACACAGGTTTGTTATGAGATCTCAGTATGTTACGTAACCACTCATGCACGTTTTCCCTACTGCTTTGGATTTCTTCCACACAAAAGGTAGTGCCACCGTAAGATACTAGCCTTACCTTACTCTAGTCTAGTAGACCTTTGAGAAAATATTTTGTCCTTCGTTCCTTCTCATAATTTTGGTTCAAAGAAATCTGATGAGGTACAGCTGCTCACCTGTATTTTCCTAAACACTTCATTTTGCAGCCCCATGGGGATCAGTCTTTTCCACCCAACTCCCCTCTGCCACACACAAAACCCCCCCTTATTGCACAGCAAAGTTCAATGTATAGGGATGCAGAGCTGTGTATACCCATTAGTCATTTCTTTTTAAAAACAAACATTCCTAAGGTTGCCTCAGACTGTCAAGTATAGCACATTGATCAGGTACTAACGAGGCATCATGTATAGCTATGCAAAGCCATGAATGAGGATAGTAATCAGCAAACAGGGGAGGAACAAAAAGAGCATAGTACTGATGTGCTCTTTGAACTATGAATTAGCTTGAGAGCCTTTATTTATGGACATTGCAAGTGCAATGGCAGAACCTCCATTCAACTAAAACATAAAGTTTGTTTTTGTTCAGTCGCACAGTCGAGTCCAACTCTTCATGACCACATGGACCACATCATGCCAGGCCCTCCTGTCTTCTGCCGTCCTCCGGAGCTTGCTCAATTTCATGTTTGTTGCATCGATGACACTGTATAACCATCTCATCCTTTGCCATCCCCTTCTTTTACCTTCAGTCATTCCCAGCATCAGAGTCTACTCCAGTGAGTGCTCCCTTCTCATTTGGTGGCCAAAGTATTTGAGCTTCAGCTTCAGTATCTGGCCTTCCAGGGAATAGTCAGGGTTGATTTCCTTTAGGATTGACTGATTTGATCTCCTTGCAGTCCAGGGGACTCCCAAGAGTCTTCTCCAGCACCATAATTCAAAAGCATCTATTCTTCAGCACTCGGCCTTCCTTATAGTTCAACTCTCGCAGCCATACAGTACTACTGGGAATACCATCGCTTTGACCATATGGACTTTTGTTGGCAGGGTAATGTGTCTACTTTTTATTATGCTGTCTAGGTTTGCCATAGCTTTCCTCCCAAGGAGCAAGTGTTTAGGGCAATTTAAATGGAAAAAGCAAAGAGATTCAAGTTCAGCAATTCAGCCCTTTAATTCCCTCCACTGTAACCTTAATTTTGTGAAATGAAACAGCAAGGAAAACTGTCACTCACTTTACAGCTGCCACCTGCTCAGCATCTTAACCTTTGAGCCACCGCGACGTTACACCCCATGGAAATCCCGAACGTCCCCAAACCCATTCCTCCCCCGACTCCACCTCCCCCAAATCTCCCAATATTTCCCATCCGGAGCTGGCGATCCTACTATGAATGCACATTCCATTCAGGTACGGTGTACTGTGGATTGTTTTTAATACATGCATTAGATCATCCTCATGTTACATCCAGGGGCGTAGCCAGGAATTTGTAGGGGGGGGGAGCACTGAGGACGCCGAGGAGGCATAATGCCACTGATGATGCTCCCCCTTTTAAACACATTTATTTACATCATTTATAGTTTGCCTTTTAAACTGGTAACTTTACACAGTATAAATCAAAACAGTCAACAGGAAAGAAACTAAAGAAATGGGAATATGAGAGTTAAGGTGGATATAATTGAGGCAGAGTATTTGCAATTGAGCATTTTGTGTAGGAAATCTGAAATCAAACAGTGAAACATCTAGCAGGTTTCACAAGTAGGAGCTAATTTTGCCCAAGGCGTGATGGAGAAACTCTAGGTGATAATAGCTGATAAAAAACCATAAAGCAGTAGAGATCTTTGTCATTCTCATGCCTTTAATGTGCCATCAGCTTCTTTGTTATCTTTGCTGCAGCAGACTAACAAGGTTAATCTTCTAGAATCTTATCTTTTAAATCATAATTTTATTTAGTTGAGTCCAAAGCTTAAGGGGTGATTTCCAATAAGCATGGTTTACAGTAAACAGCCTGTAGAGATTTGTTGCATTCATTAACCCATGATGCAGCACATTATTAAGGTTATTATGCTGTCCTTTTATTTAAGTTAGTTTATTTACATTATAGTTCACCTTTTTAACTGGTAATTTACATAGTATAAATCAAAACAACAGGGAAGAACCTCTAAAGTAATTTCCCTTGAGTAAAGAAAAAAACACCCTGGGTTGGTTTTTTTAAAATCTTGCTTTCAACATAGTACCCTGTTTCCCCGAAAATAAGACCTACCCAAAAAATAAGCCCTAGCAGGATATCTGTGCATTTGTGGTATAAGCCCTAGTGTGTCTTCTTGAGAAAAAATAAATATAAGACTGTCTTATTTTCGGGAAAACACGGTAGCTATCCAGTTTTGTACTTCCTGGCTTTGGAACATTTGAATTATGTCTTAACTGTAGTTAATGCCCCTCTTTATATAGATGATAAGTCATTAAGAAATGTTTTCTGTGTGTATCTGAACAATTGTCTTTATGGCATTTCATTTAAAGCAAATTCTCCCTTTGAAATAGTTCATAGTACCATCCCATGGCTCAAACTGTTTGCGTTAAGTTCTAATGGTAGGCTGAGAACCAATCAAAAGGAGACGCAGCAATTCTATCTTCCATTGACTGCCAGGGGTACAGTACAGGATGGGCCAATTTTTGCTTCTGGTATTGCTAGAGCTCCTGAACGTATTCCTTGATAAAGAAATTTTCTTTGATCTTTTAAAAAAATTTAACCTGGAAAATCTTTTGATCTTGCATCCACCTTCAGTATTCATTTAATATTATTCATTGCATCATGGAACTCAAGGCAGCATGCAGCGGGTTCCCAGCAGGTTTCCTATCCAGGTGCTGACCAGACCTACGCTTGCTTAACTTGAGCAAGGTTGCTGTAATATGTGCATTCCAGCCATACCTTGGTATCTCTTTGAAGAAACACTGCGTAACCTCCCAAAGCAAATAGAGTATGTGTTTGGCATGTATAAGATGCCAGGTTCAGCATTTAGCATCTTCTCCTTGGCAGAAGACCTGTGTCTGAAACAGTGGGAAGCTGCTCACACTTCTGACAGACCTGAGCTAGCTGGGTTCTTTTGCCAGACTCTGTATAGTGAGTCCTGCATTGTGATCCTGTATGATATCTCCTTTAGTTTCAGTAACCAAAGATTTACTGCTTGCTTATCACGTGAGAGAGTGCTTTCATTAATTTGTTGAGGTCTGCTTACTACAGTTTATCTTGCCTCATGGGTTCCAAAATCTCTCCTCCTTTCAGCTGATAAAAGGTAAAGGTTCCCTTGCTTGAAAGCTAGTCGAGTCCGACTCTAGAGTTGCGGTGCTCATCTCCGTTTCAAAGCCGAAGAGCCAGCGCTGTCCGAAGACGTTTCCGTGGTCATGTAGCCAGCATGACCAAACACCAAGACACACGGAACGCTGTTACCTTCCCACCGAAGTGGTCCCTATTTATCTACTTGCAATTTCTTGCTTTCGAACTGCTAGGTTGGCAGGAGCTGGAACCAGAGACGGGAGCTCACTCAGTCATGCGGCATACTCGGGTCTCGAACTGCTGAACTACCGACCTTCCACAGCCCGCAGTTCAGCGTCTTAACCACTTAATTATTAACCCAGTAGAACAGCTATGATGGGGTAGCACAGACTTAAATAAGTGAGTCTTGAGAGGGGTTATCCTGCAAGAAGAATAGCCAGGCATGTTTGCTTCTTACCATAATAAAGTTTTTAAAGGCCTACAACTGAAAAAATCTTTGTATGTTGGATAGACCCATGTTCTGTCAGTGAACAATGTGCTCGCTGTATTTGGTCAAGGGTTCGATAAACATTTTGTGTGTAATAAATGTCTGATTATAGCACAGCACAAACGGAAGGCACAGCATGTCATACACTTTTTTGCATTTAAATTCAGTCACTTTTTTTGGGAAGAATTAAATTTGCATTAGTCATACATATTTCTCTCTTTAGTGCCTCAGATTCACGCCCAGCTGGTCTGGAAGAGGCAGATCAGCCATCGGTGCCAGGAGAGCAAGGTATAAATATGGATAACACTGGACATAAACTTGCAGACTTCGCAAACAGACCACCAGGTGATGAGCATAGTTTATGATGGTTTTAATGTATTCAGTAAATGCAATAATGTTATTTGTTGTGCCTCAGAGATGTTGTCATAGCTTTTAACACTGATTCTAAATGTGATTTTTCATGTCATCTCCAGCAAGCTCCAAAGAGGCTTTTTCATAAATCACGAGCATCCAAAGATTCCTGCCTTTGTACCCAATAACATCTTTTTCTATCATGTAAATAAACTGCAGGGAGCTGCAGTTTATCCCAGTTTCCAAGCATATGTAAACAGGATTTAAAAACTTGTTTACATGTCTTACAGGTTGTGGAATAGTCCATAGTGAACTGCAGCATACCTGCAAATTCTGCAACATGATATTGCCATAATTTCTTGGTGTCTATATGGTGAAATGCCAAAATCCTGAATATCGGCACCACATTTCATTTTGTTGCCTGTTCAAACAATATGGAGAGTTCCTTTGGAGCTTTTCTCTTTGTGCCTGGGGTAACACAACCCTTGAATAATTTGGCATCATCCGTGAACTTGGGTTGACTTTTTTCCAGATCATTACTGGTTCCAATGAAGTACCTTGCAGACCCTGGACTTAATTCTTTCCTTTGTGAAAACTGTGCATGTACTCCAGTCCTTACTTCCTGTTGCCAGTCCATTACTCATCCTCTTCTAATTACATAAGGATCTTTACAGAGCCACCCACAGTAGAGTTATACCCTTCTAAGTCCATTGAAGTTAATGGGCTTAAAGGAGTGTAACTGCTTGGGGTGGCACTTTTTATGAGTAACATTGTGAATACTCTTTTGGAAGTCCTAATGTATAATGTCTTATGTACATGCTTGTAGAGACATGCAAAGAATGCCAAAAGGACTGCAGAAGCCCCTTGTGATTCTTAGCAAGACTGTAATAATGCTTCCCACTAATCTTATCTTTGAAAATAGGTATTACATTGTTTACCTGTCAGTCCTCTGCTTAGGAGCTGTGTTAGACTGACAAATTTCATATTTCTGATAAATGAATGTTTGTCTTTTATCTGTCTGTAGGCTACCCATCACAGTCGATGGAACAAAGATCCCTTCAGCAAATCCCACCTCAGCTTTTACAACATGGGCAGCAGCAGCAGCAACCTACACCAACACCTCAGCAGACGCAATCCCAACAGCAACAGCAACAACAACAGATGATGATGATGCTTATGATGCAACAGGACCCTAAATCTGCCAGACTTCCTATTCATCAAGGTGTCCATCAACCTAGGGGCCCTCTGAATGTAGAGACTCAAAGAATGCCGATGCAGCCAGGGGGCAACATGTCAGTTATGGTTAGTCTGCAAGGTCCTGGTGCAGTGCCTCCATCTCCTGACAAGCAAAGACTTCCTATGCCAAACAATCCTTCTCTAGTGAATACTGCGCGAAAGATAGTTTACCAAGATAATGCACAAAACCCTACTAGTTCTCCACTGGGAGAAGTTCCATTGGTACCCTCTATTGCAGAAGGAAATGGGTCTGAAGCCCCTCCAGCATCAGGGACTCAGAGTAATATTGCATCCCATATAGTGGTTTCACAAAACCAATTGATGATGGCAGGGCCAAAACCTGGACCTTCTCCATTGTCAGCTTCCCAAGGTGCAAGTCCTCAACAGCAGCCTAATTCTCTTCCTGGTCCTCACCCCCACCATTTTCAAAATGTTGCTACTACATCACAAACATCACGACCCAAAACACCAAACAGGGCAAGTCCAAGACCGTACTATCCTCAGACTCCCAATAATCGCCCCCCAAGCACAGAGCCATCAGAAATAAGTTTATCCCCAGAGAGGCTCAATGCTTCTATTGCAGGTCTCTTTCCTCCTCAGATTAATATTCCTTTGCCTCCTAGGCCTAATCTTAATAGAGGGTTTGATCAGCAGGGTCTTAATCCAACCACTTTGAAGGCCATTGGGCAAGCACCATCAAATCTCACCATGAACAATCAGTCAAATTTTGTCTCCCCACAAACACACAAGTTGGATCCTATGGCTATTAATTCAGGAAAGCAAACCAATACTGGAGGAGCAAAGCGTGCCAGTCCAAGCAACAGTAGAAGGTCCAGTCCTGGGTCAAGTAGGAAAACCACACCAAGCCCTGGAAGGCAAAATTCAAAAGCAACTAAATTAGCTTTGACACCTCAGCAGAATCCAGCGCTCATGCATAACATGGACTTACAGAGAAGTATAATGGTTGGCCCTTCTCCTTTGCAAATGCCCATGCCTGGAAGTTTTCAAAATAATGGAATGTTGACTGTTCAGAACCCTGCAATACCTGTATCTGTTATGAGTGGTATTCCTGAGGATAACCACAAAGAGAGCTTCAGTGGCCCTCAAGACAGTGCATGTCCAAGTACGCAAGCTGCCCAAATGAACAGAGATCAACGCAGCATTGAGCTGAAAGGTGTTTCAAGCCAAGAAATCAAAATCCTAGTCCATGAAGAGCAACAGAAAAGAGAGACCACTTCTGTAGAAGCCAACAAGCTTCCCAGCCGGGAAGAAAACAAGAGTATTCTATCTCCAGCTATGCGTGAGGCACCAACATCCTTAAGTCAACTTCTTGACCATTCTGGAGCTCCTAATGTAACCATTAAGCCTCCAGGTCTCCCTGGTCTTGAAGTGCCTCCAACAGTGACTTGTGCAGAGGAATTTAAAAAAATTACTGCCATTCCTCCTCCTCCTCCTCAGCAGGATCCCTCTTCTACCAAAGATCCTGCTTGTTCCCTAACCTTACCTCCAAGCACTGAAACCTGTTCAACTCAAATGCAGCAAGATGTAGGAGACATAAACTCAAATGTTTCTCAGAATATTCCCCCAGTAATTCAGAGGTCCGTTAGCTCCGCTGCTATTTCCACATCACTCCCACCCAATCAGATAACTGTATTTGTAACTTCCAACCCTATCACATCAGCTTCTAATTCATCAGCATTGCCTTCTCATTTACAGCCTACATTAATGTCTACTGTTGTCACCATGCCTAATGTGGGTAATAAAGTCATAGCTTCTGAAGGACAAACAACCGTTCAGTCTAATGCTCGACCTCAGTTCATTACTCCCGTTTTTATAAATTCATCCTCAATAATTCAGGTAATGAAAGGGTCTCAGCCAAGTACAATTCCTGCAACCCCAATGACTTCTAATTCTAATTTAATGCCACAGTCTGTTGCAGTTGTTGGTCCTTTGCATTTATCCCAAAATATAAAGTTCTCGTCTGGGCCTGCACCACCTACCGCATCATCTAATACGCCTATCTCAAGCATGCCAACCAGCCGGTCATTGGTTATTAATTCACTAGCAACTCCTGTTCAGCTTCCCTCTTCTCCATCAACGGTTCCTTCAAATACTTCTTTGCATCCTCCTATTCAACAAGTCAAAGATTTCAACCCAGAGGAGATGAGTTCTCAAACTTGTGCCTCTGTTGACCCATGCTCTGTTGCAGCCACACAGTCTGGAGCTGTGGTTTCCCCTCCTCGTGCACTTAGCCCCGGATCTTCTATCAATAGACGAAGTCCAGTTTCATCTACTAAGGGAAAGGGGAAGGTGGACAGAATTGGCCAATTTTTGCTAACAAAAGCATGTAAGAAAGTCACGGATGGCTTTGAGAAAGGGGAAGAACAATATGGTGTGGAGGGAGAAGTGGAAGGCCAGGAAGTAGATGTTCCAACTCCTAACAGTTTGGAAGGGGAGCAGTTGCCTGTAGAACTGGAAGGTAACCCTGTGGCACCTCTAGCACCTGTTCTCTTGAAACAAAGCACTTCTGGGATTGGCCATTTGAATATTGGTACTGCTGCTACTGTTTCTGCCTCAGTATCTCTTAGCTTACCTGGCAGCGCTCCTTCCACAAACGTACTCTCCGTAGTAAGCACTCCAGTGATTTCTAATGTCATACCGACAAATCCAAGCACTAATGGTAACCCTGGCACTTTGCCTGCAGAGCAGGTTGGAATTGGACCGAATGATGAGAGAGCAGAAACGCATCCTGAATTATCACAGAATATAGGTATGTATTCTAATTATATACAGCTCCCCTTCAGCAACTGTAAGCTCAAAATATGTATGGAAAGCTGGATTAGAGGTGTGAATGCCTGGGAAAATTTTAGGCCCCCTCCCCTGCATACACACAGTTAAATCCAAGGTCTGGCAAACAAAGGCAGTTTGCAATACATACCTTTACTACCTTTTTCTGTCTCCTGCACCCCTCCTTCAGTAAAGCTACTGCTGAGGTCTGGGGGAATTTTACAGAACACTACTATATACTGTGTGACACAGGACTGCAGACAGAAAGGGAGGGGAATCAACAGGAATCTCCCTTCCTCGGTCTTGTGCAAGGAGGACTTCAGTTCACAGAACTTGCTCTGCTTATGGAGGAGAGAAGGAGATGCTGGTTGAGTTCCTCTTCATGATGCAGCTCCCTTATGTGGCATAGTGGTCTCAAGGAACTCCTGAAGATAAGCATTTCAGGTTCTTTGACCAGTGGTATTTATGGGTTGGCTGGTAGCCAAGTCCTTTTTTAGCCAATAAGTGTTTTGAGTAACAGAAATTCAAAGCTTGAATTGACCACCAACCCAATGCTGAATCCAGACCACTGATTCCAGTCCTAGATAATAAGCTTCCTTTTGTTTAGTCAATTTAATTTATTTCTGTGCTGCCTTTAGGCATTTTGATAAGCAACATATATAAAACAATCACTTAAAAATAATTTTGAAACCATTGATTTGCAACATCATCATAAAATACATTAACAGTCTTTCAGCACAGGAGCATCCTCAGTTTTTTCTGAAATACCAGTTGAGATGGCACCAGCTTCTGCTCCTGGTTGATGGGCCTACCATAACCTGGAGCAGCTGCTGAAAAGGACCTTCCCTGGGTCTCCATTGGTTTTATTCAAAACAAGCCAGTTTCCACAGACAAACAGATCCCAGTAGGAAGCCCTCATTCACTGGTCATTACAGTATAGATCCTTTCTATTCCAGTTCTTTAAATTTATTCTGATTTTCCCAACTAGCAAAAAATTAAGAACTGTTTAGGGTTGTAGCTCCAGATGCATTTAAAACTGTTCGAATAAAATTAAGGCACACATCTTCAGATTTCCTAAAAGTACTAATTGGCATTTATTATTTTGCTAACAAAACTAGTATAGACAGTACATTTCATGTTCATAAAGAGGTAGTCCCAATTGAGGTTTTGGCAAGCAAGTTAAGTGTTGCATATATTTTCAGTTTCCTTAATGTTTTAGTGTTGTTTTTCTTTTCTGGAAAAAAGGTGTGGGGGGGGGGCACACAATGTATTTTAAGGCTTCAGAATTTCCAGTATGAGCTTCTGACAATAAGCAATCTCAGTGTGATGAATGGAGAAACTGCCCTTCTTATGACAGACAAAATCATTTTATTCCAAATCATTGGTCTTTCGGTAGATAAATATTCAGTGGAAGAAATTAATATGAAAAAAGAGGGGAAAGTTATTGTGTTTTAAAGTGCTGCTAATAATCCGTTGGCACTTAAAATGTGTGTGTGTGTACATGTTGTTGTTGATCTTGCTCATATGCATGGTGGCACCTGCAAAAAGCCCTTCTCAGATGAACAAAGCTATTGTGCCAGAGGGTTCAAGGCTTTGAGGGGCTTTGTATGTGATATCCAGTACCTTGAATTGAATCCAGTCACTGATGGGCAGCCAGAGGAGTGACTGCAGAATGCTTGTTCTGCCTGTGTATGTGCATAAAGTGCTGTCAGGTCACAGCAGATGACCCCAGCCATGGACTTTCAAGGCAAGTGAGCAGCACAGGTGGTTTGCCATTGCCTTTCCCTGGAGAGCCTTCTTTGGAGGTCTCCCTTCAAGTACCAACCCTGCTTAGTTGACTAGAGCAGGCAATACCATGCCACATTCCTCCTATGTTCCACCTAGCCCCTGTTAATAACCAAGCTGTGGCATTCTGTACCAACTTGAGTTGACCTGTATAGAGTACATTATAGTAATCCAGTCTCAGTGTTACCATGCCACAGATACTAGTGGCCGGACTGGCTAAGTCAAGTTAGGGATCATCTTCTATGCTAAACTGAGTTGGAAGAAAGTGTTTTTTGCAACTGCATTAACTTGCTTCTCTAGCAATAATGCTGGATTCTGTATATAGCCCCATGGCTCTTAATTTAGTCAGCAAAGGTTACCTGAACCCCATGGAAGGTGGGACGCACAATGTCCTTCAAGATCGTTACCTTCCCAACTAGCATTTCCTCTGTCTTGTTAGAATTTAGTTTCGGTTTGTTCACTCTTAGCCATTTAACCACAGCAGACAGGCAGTGATTCAAGACCCTTTACCACATCACCAGGAGATTTGAATAAGGAGGTAGAGAGCCAACCCCAAAGCACTGGATAATTTGTCCTAAGGGCTTTTCATCAAGATTGAATAGTGGTGTGGGGGTGGAATAGGTTTCTGCCTTGTAGCAATCCACAGGATAGGTCCTGCACTGATGACAGCTGGTCTCCAACAGCAACCCTTCGAGTCCAGTCTGTGAGGAATGGTTTGAACCAGTCCAGAGCACATCTCCTGGTAGCTGCCAGTGCCTTTTCTGTCCTATAGCCCAGCTTGGAGCCAGACATTCATAGTTTGCAGTGTAAAACAAGGCCGTCTGTTTCTTTTGGCTTCTAGTGTTAAAATTCCTTATTGGCTAGATCAGCTGATTTTATAGGTAGATGCCTTTGACAGAAAAGTTAAGCATCTTGCTGCCTCATCTCTCTTGTTTTAGCATCTTCAACCCAGACTCCAGTTTCAACATCAGAGAGTGCTGCTCAAAGAACAGGTAAATGTTAACTTGAACAAGACGGTGGACGTGCACGTAAAACCTTGGTTGGGTTTTGAGTGTTTGCACAATAGCTTTCAACTGCTACATTAAAACAGATGAACATTGTTAGTTCTACCAGTATAACGCTGAATAGCGGAAAAATTAAAACGATGGTATTGCTTAACCTTGTTCAGAGCAAGGAAAGGGATAATGTGATTATCATAGCTGAATTTGAAATTTGGGAAGGGGTGTTACGCAGATCATTTTTAAACAAGGAAGGGTGGCAGAAGCTAAAGGTTTTATCGGAAACTGAAGTGTAGTCTGTGTGTTTGTATGTAGATTCAGGTGGGGTAGCCGTGTTGGTCTGAAGCAGCAGAACAAAGTTTGAGTCCAGTGGCACTTTTAAGACCAACAATGTTTTATTCAAGGTATAAGCTCTAATGTGCATGCACGCCTTCTTCAGATACAATGAATTGGACATTACCAGTAGAGGGTACATTACCAGTAGAGTACATATAGGTGAGCAGTAAATTAGCATAGAGCATAATGAAGATGTTTAGCAGATTCAAGGACCAAACAGGAATAACAAGCTTAGTTTATATGGTCACCATTTGTTTGGGTTAAATTCCGGGGGGGGGGCATAGTCAAGGAAATAAATATGTCAAAATTGGAGATTGATGGGCAGATGTATCCTTAATTGTGGAATGCTGAGAGTACTCAACTGAAACCCTGCCAAGCATGGAGGTGACCTTACAGCATCTTCTTTGAAGTGTGGCAATTGGCTGTGTAGAGTAGCTGTGTAGAGTTATCTCCCCTGTCCCCAGACCAGAGAAATAGATTCCAGTCTACCATTCCAAATTACATTACATTCCACTATGTTTACATTACAATCTATTATTCTAATTTATTATTCCAAATAAGAACTAAAATAAAATAAAGAGGACATGTGGCCCTTCTGGGGGATTGGTGAGAATACAGATTATAAGAGCTGAATGAGGTTCCATATGTAGTGAGATAAGAAACCAATACCCCTGTTAAGTCCTGGAGATTCCATTGTTCTGAGTGTTGTAGCATTGTCTTTTCTAGTCTGTTCCTGAAGTTCCTTTGCAATAAAACAGCTACTTTGAGGTCACCCATTGACTGTTCTGGAAGGTTGAAGTGTTCTCCTACAGGTTTCTCAGTCTTGTGATTCTTGATCTCAGATTTATGTCCAATTATCCTTTGGCATAGGGTTTGACCTGTTTGCCCTATATAGAGAACTGAAGGGCGTTGTTGGCATTTAATGGCATATACAGTGTTAGAAGATGAGCATGTGAATAAGCCTGAGATGGTGTAGTTGATGCTGTTAGGTCCAGTGATTCTGTTGTCTAGGAATATGTGGCAGCAAAGTTGGCATCTGGGTTTATTGCAAACTCTGTTACCAGTCCATGTTCTAATTAGATGTTGTATTATTGTGGGCGAGAAGTTGTTTGAGTTTGAGGGGCTGTCTGTGCGCAAGAAAGGTTTGCCCCCTGTACTTGTGAAATAGAACTGTCATTATCCAGTAGAGATTGTAAATCACTAATTAGCTGAAACAGCTGTTAGTCACCTCCATGCTTGAAAGGAGACAGATGGAGAATAACAACAGGGCCTCAGTTAATTACTCTCAGCATTTTGTTGCATGATAATTTGTTGCTCACCCTCTAGCTATGTGTATGGACTGATAACTTCCATTTCAGTGTATCTGAGGAAATGTGCGTGCGCACGAAAGCTCGTATCTTGAATAAACCTATTTGGTCCTAAAGGTGCCACTGGACTCAAACTTTGTTCTATGTGTTGCGTGTTACTGTCGAATATCTGAAGGACAGAGGTTTGTTTATTTATTCACTTGATTTATTGCCCACCTTTCTTACAGAGGTACAAGGTGGGTTACCATTTTTAAAACCAGTGAACAGTTTAATACATACAGTAAACAATGCAATAAATGTCTTAAAATTCATCATAGACATTGTGATTCCTGTACCTCTTAATAAACTGTCCTCCTTAACAATTGAGTTCTACACAGTTTGCAGAATGTGGAAAGTGAGGGAGCCTTCCTGACCTCATCAGGCAGGCCATTCCATAAGGGGGGGAGGCCATGACAGAGAATGTCTTGATCTTGACTCCACAAATTGAGCCCCTTAAGGTGGCTGGGCTTCATAATAAAGCTGGCACCATGGCCCTACAGGTATTGTAGCTGTGGAGCAAATATGCTTTAAATTGTGGGGCGTTCCACAATTGGAAGTGGGCAGTTGTTTTACCACTACTTGATTAAAATCTTGGTGGGGTTGTATTTCATTCGATACCTGCTTAGATTCCAGCTCTCGTTTTCTGGCTGGGAAAAGAGAAGGGTCACAGAGATCTATTGGATTTGTAGGTCTCGGGCTCATTAATGAGTGAAGTGGCCTTCACTCTTAGATCACAGGGCACCTGGCTCATCTGCTTGTGTACTTGAAGATTTTCCGACATGAACACAAGAAGAAGATGGGTTGTGATAAGAAATCCTTGAATTATGACTGCCACTTGTGGATTTTTCTTTTGTACATACATTTCAACAGCACACTAGATACCTAAGTATTTCTGTCTTTTTCTTTCAGATTTGGAAGCGAATTGTGCAGTTATCACTGGCGTTATGTACGTAATTTTAAAATGGAGAACGAATCTTTTGGTACAGATTAATTCTCTTTTTGGTCTTTGGGTTGTATAACTTAGTGGTCATTTATTAGAGGATTTATCTTTCCTTGGCCATGTTTACCAATAACAGGAAATGCTGGATGAGGGCTTGTTCCTGCAAAGACTTGCATGTGAACTTAAGTTCATATCCTGTGATAATTCCACTGATGATGACTGCATTATTGAATCATTTAAAAGCAAGAGCATTCTGCTCTCGATGGGTCCAGAAGTGTGAGAACTGTGTACTGATTGCTTAACACCCATAATCATATCTTTCAATCAAATGCAATAAAGTGATGGCCCTCCTCTGAAGTAAACCTAAGCATCTAGGATCAAGAGCTGAAACTTTCCCCACTCTTAGCACAGTCTCTGTTTCTGTGCCTGTCATACCTATTTCATCCTAGAGATGTTTGGGGTGGAGTGGGGGGGTATCTGGCTTTTCTGCAGCAGGGGTTTCAAAATAATGGTACTTGACAGTTTTTCAGCATAAAGAGAATAAAATGTTCTGGGCATCTATCCTAACAATGTCCTGCTTGCAATAATCTGCCTTGCCTTCCATGAAGGCTGGTCCCATCTTTTATTAATAAAAGATTTCTGTCCTTGGACTTGGTGTTGAAAACTAAGTAGCAGAGGATCTGTTTTTCATGCAGAGGAGCCAGTGTCCCCTCTAAGCTGAGTTAGTGTGAGCTAGCTCACAGTTTTTTAGCCTCTGGCTCACACATTTTTGTCTTAACTCGGGAAGGATGGCTCCAGAGCCAACGAACTTATGCAGTAGCCAAATCACCTGCTCACAACTTTAATGCTGTTAACTCACAAAGTAGAATTTTTGCTCACAGGGCCCCGCAGCTTAGAGTGAGCATTGCAGAGGACCCTGACTTTTTGTAGTTGTTCAGTCGTACAGTCGAGTCTGACTCTTCGCAACCCCATGGACCAGATCACGCCAGGCCTTCCTGTCTTCCGCCGTCCTCTGAACCCTGACTTTAATCCCCTGTATCTCTAGTTCAAAGTATCAGGTGGTAGGTGATGTGAAACGACTTCCACCCTGGAGAGCTGTCAGTCAGAGTAGATGATATTAACCATAATAAACCAGTGGTCTGACTCAGTATAATGTAGCTTTAAGTTCATATGATGTTTCATGGTTACAGGTCTCACCCTGTCTGTTGTGGTATCAGTTGTTTCTGTAAACAGATCCTTGTTGTCTTGCTTTTGGCAGAAATGAGCCAAAAGAGACTTGTGAGAAGTCTAAAACTCCGAGCAGAAGAAATTCAAGAACAGAGGACTCTGCTGCAGTGCAGGAGGCCGTAGAGAATGGTCAGCGCAAGAGGTCCTCCAGACCAGCATCGGCATCCAGCTCTGCAAAAGGTAAGCTACCCAGTTAAATGAAATCTTGGCAGCAAAAAGTAGTTTTCTTGTAATGATTGCACCAAATGCCTTTGCTGTTTAGTGTGATGTTAAGCCTTTGAAACGGAGATGAGCACCACAACCCTAGAGTCGGATTTGACTGGCTTTTGAGCAAGGGAACCTTTACTGTTACCTTTTAAGCCTTTGAGTTAGGAACAAACTGGCATCAAGGTATTGCATATCATTTGATGAGTTTGTTTTCACCTTTCTGTTTTCCATCTCCTCTAAAACGTGTACTGAACTTATTCACAAAGCAAATAAGTCACTTTAATATCTTTATTGGAAATGTGAGTGTAAAGGAACATTTAAGTGTGAAATAAGAGACAAGTGCTTTTCTCTGCAATCACAAAACTGACTTTGAAAAAGCAGATGATTTAGTATTAGTTCCAAAGCATCATAGAATAATCAGACTGCTTGTGTATAAAAGATGTAACTCTGCTTAGGACTGCACTGTGAAAAACAGAACCAAGGTTGGCTGTGCAGATAAGAACCAGCTCAAGTCTCAGTGGGTGCTATCTAGTTCTAGGGGACAGTCTGCCCTCTCCAGATGGTGACATCATCAGGGTATAGCCCCACCCAATGGTGTCCATCATTCCCTAACTTTCCTCTTATTCACTTACATCAGAGGAAGTAAAGGCATCACTTGTGGCCATCATTACAGTGAAGACAACCCAGTCCCAGCACCCTTGCTATGAAGTGCCTTGGCCTCTAGCAAAAGAAACCTCAGCAGTCTCCTAGGATCCCAGCAACACAGATGCTCCCCATTCAGATACTGTCTGTCAAGCTGATGGGCATCTTGCTGTGAGAAGAAGTGTTTCTAAGTAAATAAGATAAAACAACTGACAAGAGAGCAGAAGGATGCTGGCATTTAGATCCACAGTCATGACACCAAAGATTGTATTGTATTGTATCGTATTTTTTTATAAGGCTGCAGTGTAGATCCATATCAGTTAGCTTAGGCTTTGTGATAGACTTTGGAATAGTAAATATCAGGACGGAGACAAAGCCAAAACCAGAGATTACTTTTAAACACATGAACTCTATTCTGGCTTCTGCACATGATGATTTTCTCCTGTTGAGAATGTTTGTGTTTCAATGTGAATGGTTGACAAATGTTCTTTTGAAATTACTTTTCTCTTTCTTAGAAACAAATGCCAATGCTATGCAGTCAAAAAGAAGAAAATCCAAGTGAATAACTGAGTGGATATGCAAGGCTTGTAAATGTGTGAATGTTATCAGTTTAGCAGTTCTGAGTTGTGATTTCTCACTATAGTAAAAACAAAACCCTAATATTCTGTACAGTAGCTCATTTTAATATTATGCTGTTCCCAGTAAATGCAAATTGTTTTTTTCTAAAGAGGAAATGATTTTTTTTAAAAAAATCAGGTTACTTGTTAAATTTTGCTTTTGTAAAATCCTCACTTAGCACACTAGATTTAGCGTGTTGTAAAAAAAGAAGAGATAATTGTAAATTTATTTGTACGTTTTCACTTTTCATAGGACAAACTAGAGTACAGGGTTGTCTTTTTTAGATATTAATGTATTGTGCTGTTGGTCAAGTACTGTATGTGAATAGCAGTAAAAGGGCTATATATGGCCCAATTTTGGAAATGTAAATAGTTTTATTATATAGTAGGCTTGATGTATTTGTTGTAGAAAAGGACCAGTAAAACAAAATGAAATGAAAAGGTTTGTGAAATGTGGATTACTTAATGCTCTAAATAAATGTTATTGACCTATAATCTGCAGTGTGCATTATTTCACATCAACATTATACTAAATGAGCAGCGGGACATTGATAATTCAGGGTTGGCACCTTGTGGAAGGAGCACTTAGTTTGTGGTCACACACATTAAATCCACTTTCAATGCACTTTCCAACTGGATTTCGCCAGTTCACAGCTGGAAAGTGCACTGAAAGTAGATTGAAAGTGGATTATTTAGTGTGTGTGACTGCAGCCTTGGTGGGGTTACTTTTCTATTAAGATGAGAGAGCAAAGAAATATGGAGGCATATATGTAAGTGGAAACAGCAAGGTGACAGTGTAGACACAGGATGGTATGTGAGGACATGACCAAGTAAATGTGCAGGCAAGGGTTTAGCTCAGCTACTATTTTAATTCTATCTTTATTTAGTTCATAGCCCACTCTTTTACAAAGGCTAATTTAAGGCCAGTGTCTGTTTGGTCCACACGGGAAGCAATATGCAAGCCTAACACGCATGAAGAAGCTTACTTCTTCACTTCCTGGGTTCCAGAAACTACTGAGCCGGCCCAGTTGCCAAACCCACCTACTGCTGTTAGAGTTGAGGCTTGGACCTTAAGAAGTGTACAGATGCCATTCTTCCCCACCCATCCCTTTTCCCTAGGAATCCCAAGACTGCTGAAAAACTGGTGCTGGAGGTTACAGGGTCTGTGTGAACAAAAAAGCCTCCCATCCTGGGGGCTGCAGTGAGTAGGAAGGACCAGTCAGGCATCACTCCTGCATCAACTGAAGCATGGCTTACAGAAGAGGAAGGAAAGGGAGGGCAATTTCATCTGGCTCCCCTTTTATTCAGTGAAGTCAGTCAAGTGGGATGGCTGTATCAGCATATGGGAGGTCTTAGGGCGCTACTGGGAGGAGATGGGTGAAGAAACACATTGTGAGCTTCCTCATACTTCATAGGATCCAAGCCAACTTGAGTAAATGGCCTCATTTCTTTAAGTGCTACAACTTTGACTGGCGTATAGAACTGCATAATGTCTCTCCTGTGCAAAGTATTGGGTGTCCCAATGATTTGGCTGTAAGCACTGGTACACTGGGCATGCTGTATATATGAAACCCCCTTAGAGGGAGACTCCTTAGGTTTGAAAAAATGGGTTTGATTCAGTAAAAAGCTGCAGCAGGTTAGGTATCGTATATTTAAAGAACTCATTAAACGCCACATCAGTTAATGGTTTAAATATATATTTTTATTTCTTGTTTCCCCCCCCCATTATAGTAGACTCCCCCCCCCCAAGGACAGCATTACGTTCTAACAACCAAAACCATGTTACATACACACAGGCACACCACAACACTTTTGAGGCAGTTGTGTCCTTTGCTCTGTCAACACATTGCAAATGTCTAAACAGTGCCGTACAAGCAATGGGCTTCCTCATTCCACTAGCCACCTGTCTGCCACTTTAGCAGGTAGCACACAAGGACACATTTTTTATTTAAACTATATTTTATGTTTCCATTCTACAGTATAAATGACGTAGAAAAAGTTGCGGGGGGCTTGGGTATTGTCCTCAGGCCAAAGAACTCTCATTTAATAGTTGTCCTATTGTAAGGCATACAATAGATAGAATCTATACTTTAAACTCACACATACACATACCACTTTCCTGTTTAGCAGAGCATAGCTGTGAGAGATTTACTAGGACTCAATCTGTGTTTGTGGGCTTGGGGCTCATTTCCAGCATGGAGGTTCTTAAACGCAAGCATTTTTTGAAACTGGTTGTGTTGGGTTAGAGAAAGAGGGGGTGCATGTTGCTGAAATAGAAGATGAACATTATTTCAAATGTTTAAAAGAAGGACTTAAGGCAACCCTTTCAAACCCAAATAGCACTTTTTGTTTAGACTAGTCACTAACCATTTCAGATGTGTAGAAAGGATGGAGATCCTAATACAGTTTTTGGCAAAATGCTGGTGGTAATCATATCGTAATACTCTCTTTACTAGCACATGGATGGTCAATTAGAGTTGAAACTATTTTTTTTTCCATATCCTTTCCATATGCCCTGCATATATGTTCACAGGTCCACTGGCAGTTACCCCTACAGAAACCAGGGGAGACTGTCAACATTTTTTTTTTTTTGCTTAAATCATTCCTATAACAAAATCCATAATGTCTTGCATATTATGAATTCTTGGCTATTTAGTATAGTTTTGTTGGAATTGTGGCAAACATCAGTATAAATTAGAGATGACCAGCCTTTCACCATCACAGTTCATGTCAGTTGAATAGTTTGTGTAGAAGTAAAAATAGATGTAGCTTGTCATATCACAGTGCTGAAGGGTTTTGAAAGCTGCACCTGTTGAACTTCTCTCACCTACACAACTATTAAAGGTACAGGAGAACTACGGTTGTAAAGTAGATAATCTAGAGTATAAATCCCACATTAAAATTTTAATCCTGGAAAAATAATTTACAAAGTAGTCACTGGAATAAAAACTGTAATAGATGAAGTGGCCTTGCTAACACACATACATACAGCTGTGCCTGGAAAGTATTTGCCAAATCAAGCCCTTGGTGTCCTCTGAAAATCTTAATTTTTAAATATTTAAATCACGATACATACATTTGTAGAATTCAATTACCAGTCATCTTTGCATAGTAGGACATTTAACTATGGTTGCCTAGGTCTAATGTTCCTGTTGGTTTTGTGTATACATTTTCCTGCTTGATAATAGTATGCCAGATCATGCAAAAAGGCGTGAAAGGCACATACACAAGTCAATATAGCATGAAGAAGTATTCAGGACACAAATAATAGGAGTAGGAACAATAGGGCTGGCATATAAAGAAATATTGTAACACTCAATGACTATTTGATGGGTAAGATTAGGGTATATTATAAAATGCTATTGTTATTGGAGACAGTATAGTGTAAGCTTTTTTTTTTCTATCATAGGAAAAACAATAGGAAAAGGAGAGAAAATGAAGGTTAATTTCAGTGGGGTTTGGAGCAGGAAAGATGAATTTTAACAGTAAATACCCAAGGGCACCTCTGACTCCTTCAAGCCTCTACTCATCCCCTTGACCCTCACCAGCTATGACCTTGCATCTATTTATGTCTTTTCTCCCCCTCCCTCCTTACAAGGAGTGATGTCCTTGGCCACAGTAACCTGTTGGCAAGGGTATTTCCTCAAAAGTACAAGATAATAAAGTGCCATTTGAATTAATCTATGAGGCATCCAATGCCATCTGCATTGCAGAATATTGACAGGGATGAATGTTTTCTTGCAACCTGGATGTAAATGTGGATCCTTCGTTGTTATTGCAGCTTATCCACTTTACTGCAACTGCATACAATGATCTCTGCATTAGCGCTAAGGTATGAAGTTTGACTGGACCCAAGTCCTACTTATAGTGAGAACTGTTTGATCATGCAATCTTCACTGATTGGGGGCTCACGTTGCATTTCTTTTACAAGAGCCATGTTGAAATAAATGGCATCTGTGCGAGAGTGGAAATATTGTATCATTAAGTTTTTAAGTTGAGAAATTCTAATTGTACTCTTTTGCAGACCGAATCAGGCTTTTGCATTCGTAGTACATCTCAATATTGGTGTCCATTAGATGTTGTTGCATTCGGGTTGTGTGTTTCCATCCACACTGCAGTACACAAGTAGTCTCCATTGATTTGAAGGGGATGCAGATCCTCGTGCAAGACTAGCTGTAATATAATGCTAGTTGCATACAGAGCTGGACCACAGCTATAATATTGTATTTAACAACTATGATGCCCTATCCTAAGACTTCTACCAGCAGCATGTGCTTACATTTGGGCATAGCAACATCACTGACAAGACACAGCATTTACTATAATACTGGCACTGCAGGGTCATTCTGCATTTCTGCTGGGCATGTTAGAAAATTTCCTTGGAAAATTAGTTCTTAGAAGCTACTCATCTAGAAGAAGGCCTGTGTATGATTTAGACAAAGCCTCTTTGTCTTGGCTGGCCTTGCAATAGAGACATAACTACAACAAACTGAAAGGCGAGAGATGCAAAATTATTAGGGTAGCTAGACCTTTTTAATAAAACACACAATCTGCAGGTAACTAAGGTTTAAAATGCAGGCCTAGATAATGTAAAATCTTTTTAAAAATCACATTATATTAAAAACAGTAAAGGCCAATATACAATGCCTGTGTTTAAGGAAGAAGGGAATCTTAAAAAAAAAAAATCATGAAGTATTCATCCCATCAGCAAAAAAACACTGGATTACTCCAGCAAATTATTGTTCATGTAGAGTGTTTGCCTGTCTGCTTTATTCCTCTGCCTTTACTTTGTGCATTTGTTTCTGTCTGGCTGATGAGCTGAAATGGCAAAAAAACACAATCCACTTCTGTGCAAGGAAATGAATGGGAATGGTGCTTCAAGTAATCAAAATAATGGTTTCTTGCCACCTGCCCTAGCTTTTACCTCCTACAAGGCTGTGCTAAAAATAGCCACAAGCTACTGGTTTCTTGCCAGCAAGGACATAATATTTAACTTTGGGCAGGAATTTAGCAACTGCCAAAAAAGAGAGAGCGAGAGAGAGGAGGCACTGTAAATTATTCCATTCAGCATCCAGCTGCAATTTACCACAAGTCAAATGGAAAGGGTAAAACAAATGGCTGCATAGTAAAAGCCAGTGCTTATATGACATGGTTGTGTGGGATGCTTTTCCTAATCAGGAAGCTGCTTAGGGATTCTATTAACGAGATTGGTAAGGAAGGAAAGAGACCTTGTCCTTCATTTCCAGATTCCCACAGAAGGTTTATTAGATTCATTCTAGAGCTCAGTTCATGACTGAACAACACACATCTCTGATGCCCTGGTATGAACTAAGAACTTGCCATGGAATGTGCACTCAGAATCTTCTGCAACATCCAAAAAGAGAGAGAATATTCTGCAACATTCAAAGGCTCCACAAAAGATGGATTATTTTGGGAGGGGGTTTCCTGAGGTATAACATTTGAACTTCACTGCTCTCTGTAACATCTCACAGGTATCAACGATGAATTTATCTATAATATCGTTTCAGTTTAATTATCCTGCTGCTGAAACAATTGCCTCATGCTGAAATTACCTTCAGTGAATACTGTCTGCTGCACTATTGGATGATGACTAGCTTTTCCACTGAGCTTTTGTTCCTACTCATGTTTAAACCTAGTCAAATTCATGGATCTTGTTTAAAATGAACCCCAAACAGACATCACTGAAATGCCGTCTTTCCCTGGTGTGGTCTCTGCAGCTCTGTCCTAAGTATGCTTACTCAGAAATAAGTTTCTTATCGAATTTACTTAAGTGTGGATAGGCTTGTATCTTCAGTTTCTCTTTTTATTGCTATGGCAAGAGGAAGCTAACTGTACACAACTCTGGAGACCAAAAAAAAACACTTAAAAGTTACTAAAGAAATAAATACCTATCTTCTACTGTCCCTAACTGCCTCCTCCCCACTTTTTAAAAAATACAAATAACTAATGAAATGGTTACTAAATTGAATGAATCAATTTCAAAGCACCTTCTTCTGTTGCAACCTTCCTCTATTGCAAATACTCCATGTTACTTCCCACCAGGGAGGTTGTGTCTTGTTTCCATTGAAATTAATGGTGGGCAAGAAATAGCCACATCGTTTGTGGTCAGTGATAAGACTCTGCTACGGTTTTCTCTAGAACACAGGCCTTTGCCCATTTTGCTTTCTCGCCACCCCTCAAAACGTTGGGGAGTGTTTTAATGAAAATATTGCTTAAATATATTTATATATATCTATATACAGGTGTGTCTGCTAATGGTATTTACAAAAGAACAGACCTAAAAGAGAAAGTGAGCTACAAATTGCCATTCTCACTTTTCCGACTTATTATCCACAAAAGTGGAGTGGGTGTGCCAAAGTGTGGCCATGCCGCTTTAGAAAGAGGCAATATCCCACAGACTGGCTTTAATCCTGTTACACAGACAAGCCAGTGGAAATCAAGTCGTTTCCCCTTGACTGAAAGGCAGTAGCTAGTCAAAGAAGATCGCTAAATTACTTTAAATTAAAAAAAAGCAGTTCTAACAAGTTCATAAATTTCTTTAGGACATGCAGATTAGTATCAACAGACTCATACACACACAAAAAAACCACATCCAAACCAAACATTGCTGAAACATGTACCTTTAAGGTAGCCACATACTTTGTTTTGTCCCTGAGTCCGTGCTGCAAATTTTCCATATACAAATTTTAAAGATTTCAGCCTATCCTTTTAAGGTTGTCGTTTCAACACTCTCCCAACCATTCATTCAGAACATTGCACAGCTAACCACAATTTACAATGGCTGAATTTTAAAAAATGTTTACATCTCTGTGTTGTAACATATATACAGATGTGCATACACACATATACACACAGAGAAAAAGTATTGTTTTTAAGCACCAACTTAACATAGGAGGCTCCTGTATTGGTGCTCATGAACACCGTTGGTTCAGACTGAACATCCAATAGAATTACTTGGATGGGAACATGTGATGACTTTCCTGTATTAGTAGCAGTAGCAAAACAACAGAGGCATTTTACAAATCATGCTTGAAATTTACAAAGTTGATGAGAGGCATACAAAGGATTGATAATACTTTGTCATTGTATGTTTGGAATTTGTTCTGCCAAACAGGGAGGTTTTGTGTTTACCTTAAAGAGAGGGAAATCCTGTGATATTTCCATTCTTAGCACAAGACTATAAGGGGGAAAAGAGGGCTTTTATCCTGAATCTACGAGGAGGAAACTGAGACACAAGGCCACAGTTTGAATTTGTATTTTTGGAATTCAACCACTACATACATTCCCAAAAGTTCAAGAATCCAGTTTAATTTTTTGCACTATTGGGAGTCTCCCCCCCAAAAAACACAATTAACTGGTGTTGGATTACGCTGTAGGTGAGAGAGGATTAGAAAAGGGAAAGTGTGAGTGATTTATTTAGATTTCTGTTATGAAAGCAGTAGATGTGAAAATAATGATGCCATATATCCAAATTGTTAGCTTTTCTGGGAAGCTTTTCTGCCTTGTAGCACTTTGGCTTCACCTGCATCATATAATAGAAGTACTGCTTTCTAGACCAGACCAAAAATCCCTCAGTCGAGGACAGTGATTCCTGCTGTAGTGCTGGTGAGCACCACGATGCCCACTGATGTGTTTCCTAACAGCCACTTCCTCCTTCCCCAAAGCAAAGAACCTCTTCTTGCTTTCTTCCATCTCCCTGGAGCAGGAGGTACCGCAGGACTACCTTTGTGTCTACAGGGAGCACTCGTTTGGAAACAGCTGCTTCTATCATGGGATAATGCTTAATTTGGTACCTCTTAACGTCTTGTGGTTGGCTCAAGCCCCTCCACCCAGCAGCCATTTAGTGACTGGCCAGGCCATGCCACATGGCAGCCATTTTGTGGTGGTGTCCTCTACATGCTTTCAAAAGTACCCACAAGGTTGGGGACTCTGGGTCTAGGTCAACACTTTAACAATGGCAAGGCAGATCTCTCAGGAAGATCACAAGATGGTGTGATAAGACCTATTATCCCACCTCAGACATTTAGCTACTAGCGTTACATGATCTCTGTGTATCGCAGGCCCTTTCTACACATATTAAACACAGGTCTATGGTTTTTTTAATGGTCTGAAGTGAGGTGGATTTTGTGAATTAAGCTGTTGTGGCATGTCTGTTTACCTGCTGGTGATCTCCTGCTAGACTTCACTTCAGACGGTGAAGGAAATTTAGGGGCCTTCAGCACTCATGGCGAAGCAAACACTCACACTATTACATGGGGAGCCTTTTGGAAGGTCAAATGCTACCACACAGGAATTTTTATGGTGGAAAGATATGCCAAACTTTGCTAGGTAATGTCTCCTTTCTCAGCATTTCTTGTCATGGGTTGGGAAGACACTTTAACAAACCAAGAAAATCTCCACATTGATTCAGAGATGATAAGCTACCTTAGAACTGTCCCATGCCCCTTCCACTCACCAGCTCTTGAGTCTCACCAGTTTGAATCAGCTCTTAGTTATCATGCAGCTTACTGAAGCATGTTTAAGAGTGTAATAAAAGACACAGCGCTTATTTTAGTAGGTTTAAAAGAGGAAGCCCCACAGAATATCATTTCAGTTGGAGTGAAATGTCACACTAATTTCTGTTTATTCCAGAGTATATCACTAGGGGTGCCTAATACTGTGCTGCTAAGTTCACTTAGAAATCATTCCAGGGGGTAATAACGGAGTTAAAAGGAAGTCAAGTGGCATTTTTAAATAAAGAATATTTATTCCAGCATGAGTGAGACAGAGCTCACTTTGTTAGATGCATGAAAAGCGCATCAATAGCAGACATTTCTCTACTTAAAGTTGAAAGCATCAGAGAAATGGGAGTGGGGAGATGGATGCTCTTTGTAACATCTTCCCCTTTTCCAGCTTTCTGTCACTTTCAACTATAAATTATTCTTTAAAGTGCTGCTGGACTGCTATTTAATTTTAAAAGAAACCAACACTTGCCTTAATAGAATTTATTCTTCGGGGCTTTTGTTTAAGAGATGAAATGTTAGAAAATCTTAGGAAGAAGAAAACAGAGACATTTGTAAAGAAGTGACCTCATTTAGTCAGTGCCTTTGGAAACATGGAATGTATTCTGCAGGACATGGCTCAAAGAAAGAGGGGTATGGGAAGGAGAAAGACCTCACTCAGCTGGCTACAGCCCATCCATCCTCTAACTCTGTTGCCAGAAGATACTCATTCCCATTCAGATGTTCAGGTCCCCCTCCTTTCTGCCTCACAAAGTTCATTTACAAGTTAATGGAGAGCTAAAACATCACACTTAATTTGTAAATTTAAATGAGAATCAGGGTGAGCATATTTTAAAAGGTTGTCTCTCCCTTTAACTGTGTTGTGATGTATCTTCTTCCAAAATCCCAGTGTTGCAGTTTGAAGGGAGAGAAGCCTCATCGTAATGAAAAGTTCCCTTCCCTTAGTATGTAACAAATCACATGAGAAATCACTGATATCTCTTTCTTTCCATTCATGGAATTTCTGGGATTTAAAACCGGAGAAACAAGATTAAGAAATGGCTGAAGTCAAAATGCAAGCCTTTTCATCAGACTTGGAATATTAACATTTACAGGCTGATCAAACGATTAAATCCATCACACTCAAAATTCAGTTTCTAGTATTTTTGAATGGCCAGATTGTCACACAAAAATATAAACATTTGAATGAGAACTTTCCCCTTTAATTTGTTTCAGCTCTTCTAATATTAATTTCATGAGCTCTTCTAGTGAAACCAAAAGGCAAAAGGATATTTTAAAAATTTCACCAAAGAGAAAGGTTAATCTCCTGTCTTAATCCAGTGCAAATAAAACCAGTGCATTCGCAGTGATTCAAAGTAATTCCTGCCATCTGCACTGCTTTTCCTGGTAAGCCACAAGTAAGTAAGAAATGCAATCAGTAAATGCAATCATGCCGGTTGCAGTTTGAGGTCAAGTTGCCCTTGAACCAAGATTAAATCAATTGCATTTGTCAATCACATCTTCTGGATCTCATATGTCAGCACACAGCTTACTAGGAAAGTGGTTGGGTTAGCACATATTTGAGTGCTAGTCTGGTATTATCTCCAAGAAACAAAGAACCAGGATTCTGACATGCCTTTCTCGGCCGCAGCTCCTGTTGGTAACATGGAAGTGGTGCCAAATTTGAGATACAGGACGCCAACAACTGAGGTTTTGTCCCATGTTGCAGATGCCTTCCTGCAGGCTCTAACAGTAACTGTGTAGTACTGGTGCCTTTTTGACAGCTGTTACAGGCACAAAGACAAGTACATTGATCCCATCTACACAGAGGGTCCCCCCCCACATCCATTTCATTAGAATGAGGAGGCAATCATCATCAGTCACTCAGCTGCTGTCCCCATAAACAGAAGACTCAAGCTTGGGACTGGAAATGTTTTTACAGAGAGGTATGGAGGGAACAAATAGGCATGAATATGGGAACAGTGAGAGAAGGGAAGACAATAAAACTTTAAAATGAGGGCTGGTCTCTGTTTACCCTGTCCACCTGCACATGAGTCCTCCAAACAAACAGCCTGAGGCTTCCTGATTTAACTTTGGATCAGCTGTTGGAGAATTGCTTTTTTCCTTTAATGACAGCACGATAGGCAGCTTTAGCAGCAGGGTATCTCCATGGCCAGCAAAGCAGTCACTTTTGACTTCCCGCTTGCCATGGAGCTGTGAAAGGCACAGAACCCAACAAGCTGAGGCCTGTCGCTTGTTCTGGTGGGAATACCCTGTTCAGTTGCACCAGGAAGGATGCACCGCTGTCTGCTTTAAGAATGGCCGAGATCCAAAGAACCACAAAGGGGACCTCAAGCTTGTGAGTTGGATCCAACCAACTTTTCCATTGATGAACAAGGGAGGAGAGGGTCTCTGCTGACCACCAAAAAGGCTATACTGGGCATCATGGGACTTGCATGGATAAAAAACATATGAGATGTGGGACTCTATAAGGAATGGAATTAGATGAGACTGAATGAAAAAAGTGGCTGGATCCAACCTTGTGTTTCTGACAGCAGTGCTCCTCTCATCCATGCCAAATGGCAAACTACTCTTGAAACCGGCGTGCGTGAGAGTGGAGGTAGGAGAACAAGTGTGTGTGTTTCAAAAGCATATTGTGACACACCATAAAGATCTGCCACTCAAAGTAACAATCCCACTAGGAATTTCCAAGCCTTACCTAAAGTAGCTCTTTGGATCCAGCCGTTGGAGGGGAAACACTGGTTCCAATAAGTATTTTATTTTAGAAAACTATCCCAAATTGAGAAAGGTAGGAAGTTAAATGCAGAAGATCAAAACAGACAATTACTTAGAGCAGAGAAATATTTATCACAATGCTATCTACTCCTATAATTTGGAGAGCCGCTACACCACCTGTATGGTAGCAGGCTTTTTTTTTTTAATACGCCAACTCACCTCTTCAGGCTTGGTAAATAAATATGGTCAAACAAAGGTATTTCCTTCACATTTTAAAAAAAAGGTTTTCCTTTTTACCACTCCCAAACCGAGCTTCAAGAAGGAATTTGCAGGCTTAGTCCAAAAATAAGTTTAGTTTAACGTTATCATTAAAAATTACAATCCCCAGTATAAATCAAATCATTTTGAGGTTTCCTAGCAAAGGTTAGCATGAGGGGAATTAAGTCCTATAGAAAATAGTGGAAACTCAGATCTCATCCATATTGGGCAACTGCTCAAGGATCAATAGTTGTCGAATGTGAACATTCTGGTTACCTTGACCGGAGAAGGTAAGCACAATGAACAATTAAAGAACTTAGGAGAAAAACAATTTGCTGTACCTTTCTTATTTCTCTACATGATTTCCCGATGGAATTGTTTTTATTTATTTTTTGTTTTGGATTTGGATTTGTATCCCACCCTCCCCTTGACGGGTAATATTTAGGCAATAACTTTGCCCAGCAGAATTGCTATGAAACCAAGTGACTCCTGAAACTATCTTACCTGGGGAAATACCTTCAAGGTCACAAAGGAAACATTCTCTGCCTTAAAAGGTTCTTTTCAAAGGTTCCAGAGCCTTAAAGGTTCTTTTCGGAATGCAGGCACACATTCTGTTCTGGGAACATTCTCTAACATCTAGACCTCCACATCACCGGCTTACACTTTTGCAACAGCTTCAACTCCCTCCTTCCTTCAGTTCTACTACCTGCCTTCTACCCTTTTCTCAAGCACTCCAGCCTCCCTCACCATCTTTCAGTTTCACATCCATCACTACTATCCCCAACATACTTTATCACCTTCATAAATATGTGTAAGCCTTTTTCTCTGCCGAGGTTTTTGACATTAGCACAAATGCCAAATAACATGAAGAATTCCAATGATGGTGAGATGTCAAGAGTTATGTTTTACTACTGAATTTAGTGTTAGGGCATGAACCAGCCAAAATTAAAATCTCATTGAATCCAGTGGGAGAAACTTATTCACATGTTTAATAGTTTCCTATTGAAAGTTACTGCAGCTGGCTTGGCCAGATCAGGCCTTGAGTGATCTGAGAGACGATCCTCCCCAGCAAGCCCCCTCGGTCTTCAAAACAAGGGACTCCATTTTTTAAAACTTCTGTTTTTGAAATTTATATGAAAATATGAGAATGTCTGGTTTTAATTTTATTTTCCTCTTTTCTTCTTCTTTACTTGTTTTACTTTTCTGTTTACCAATGTCCTTGATAATTTCACTAGTATTTCCCCCACAGTCTTTTAAAAAGTATCAGAGATTCCAATTGTGTTTATTCCATCAACATGGGATAAAACACTAGTTATTGTTTCTGCAAGAGGGTGGATCCAATGAATGATACTGCAAGGAAATCTATGATGACCCTGCAGTTAATCAGATTGAAGAGCCCATTGCATGCATTTTGGAAAGGTCACGTGTGATTAAGGACTGCGCTAAAACAAGCGTAACCTTCCCATAACTGTGAACCCCCAAGGAACCCATTAAACTACTGCTGATAATTGCAGCTACTCAAAATGGAGCTTCAAAGGTTCTCTTGTACATCACATGACACTTTGGAACAGAAAACTCAGTATAATCCCACTTCCATTGAAGTCCATGGCAAAACCCACAGTTTTCCATGGAGCTGTCTTGCATCCCTGTAAAATTAAGGATGTGCCAAAATGTTTCATACCTAGCAAGCACACCATCTTAGAGGAATGAATATACCATTCATACCGTACAATTCATATTTTTAGGGGTGAAAGTCAGTCACCAGATAAACTTTTGTTACTTATTCAATTGGGGCCTATTGGTCTAAGTTATAGTTTTGTGTTCCAGTTTGCACAAGAACCTGGTATCTCCATTTGTGACATCACAGTCTGTTTTCACTGTGAAGAGTGTGATGTCATAAAGAAAGGCACTGATGTCACAGGCTCCCTGGTGCGACAACAAGGGACAAAAGAAAATGACAGGGCACATTGGCCCTCCTATAAATCATTGTTTCTTCGTTTAGTTAAAAAATGAAACGTGATATATTCATTGGAAGCACCAAATTAGTCTAACACTGGTAGCCACTATAAGAGCCAGTGTATGGATTCATGCTACCTAGGAACCATGGAAAATATCCACCCAGAGAGAATTTTTCCCTTTTGGTAATCAACATATGCATACATTTCTTCAACACATTTTTTTTAAACATAGCATGGGGTTTCAAAATAGAAATGAAGCCTTGTTACTTAGTGGGTCATACTGGATTTCTTGCACTTTCAGCTCCAGATCCAAATCCACATTCATGGAAGTATGGAGGAGAATGAGGGAGAATAAAACTGCAAAAGGGAAGGAAGTCATAGATCAGAAAATGTATTTTCATTGAAAATGGGGATAAAGCCCAAGAAAAGCCCAGGAAAGAATTATCACTGAATGGTGCCATTTCAGGAGAATGTAGGAGGTTCTCTCGCAGGAGGACAGGTTTATTTCAGAAAATGGACAACCCTCTTGGCTGAAGAAAGCATTGTGAAAAAACTGGCAAAGCTGAGAGTTAAAAGGATAATGCCCCACGGTGTAGACTTCCTGAAGTAGCTTAGTAGTTGTACTGGCGCTGGCATGGTTGGTAGACAAAGCTGCCTTGGTGTTTGGCCCGACGTGGGCGGCACTCTCTGGTGCGGTTCTGCCGCTGCATGACTTTCTTACTGAGCTTGTGCTTCTCCACCAGCTGCTTTGCCCGCTGAATCCGACGCACTTGGTTGACTTTCTCCAAGATCGCAGCCTTGGTGGCAAGAGAGTTGGAGTGGTGGGGAGCATGGCGTTGTAAATGGCGTTCAGGTACCTCGCTGCACAAAGAGAGTCACATGATATTCAGGGTCATTTAAGGACAAGACACAAGGAGAGGACAAAAGATTATTTGTGCTCTCTGGGTAATAAAGGCCTACTTCACACGAATCTTTTAATGCATTCTATCTGTATTATTATTTACTTATCACATGGCAGAGTTACACACAGGAAGCATATAATATAAAATACGTAACCATGTTGATACAACAGGTATGCAGAACGATTGGTGCAGTCCCCCTAAATACTAATATTTAAATTTTTAATCCACTCAATCACAGCTGGGGAGAGTTCTAAAAGCTCTGTCACATCACCCTGGAAAGCAAAATGCTCACATTCCTGTGACAGGAAAATAGTTTGGCGGGGAAGCATGAATCATTGTCTGCTCCAACACACCTTCAACGCAATGAATGATACGGCTGCATGCACAGAATATTCATGCAATTTCTTTCTTTTTTGAGGAGAAAGGCATAAATTGCTCATGTGTACTTCTTTAATTTATTTACAACATATCCCCATAACAAATACATCACCATTACAGCAATAAAAGTTAAACAACACAATCCACTGTTGCTTGCTATGAAAAGGAAACCTATAACCCCTTTGTATATCTTCAGCAAAAAACCCACTAAGGTAGGGTTGCCACCACTGAGTAAGGAAAGTCCTGCACAGTTGGGGGTGAAGCCTGGGTATAGCAGGGATTGGGGAGGAGAGGAACCTCAGTGGGGTGCAATTTCACAGTCCACCCTTGAAAGCAGCCATTTTCTCCAGGGCAACTGATCTCTGTGGCATGGAGATCAGTTATTCCAGGAGAGCTCCTGACTGACCTGGAAACTGGAAACCCCAGATAAATTGGTCTTATAACACCTTATGCTTCTGAAAAGCCATTGGTGAAGGCACCCTCCTCATCTCTTCGGGACAGCCATTCCACAGGGTTAAGGCTATGAACGAGCAGGCCTGAGATCAGGACAAGGATGCCTTCAGATATGACTATGTCATTGTAGGCATGGTGGGAACATAGGCGTGTTCATGCTTCCCCGTCTTTCTTTCAAGCGGTAAGTGTATAAACTGAGATATGGAATATCAGAAAGGCTTCTGTTTGTACCTGATATCCCAAAGAAGAGCATCTTCAGCCATTTTCTGGCTGCTTCTGTTTGATATTTATATATTAAAAGAAAAACGTAACATTCAAGGTATGGTTATGAGCAGAGGTCATTTGGGGGGGATCACGGGGGATCGTAGTTCCCCCGGGTGAGGTACGAGGGGCGGGGCACATGATGAAGCCCCGCCCCCTGCTTCCGGCCGCCCCGCTTCCGGCCCTCATTCAGCCAGGAGGAGGCAGGAGAAGAGGGAGGGTAAGTTGCTTCCCCCCTGCCTCTCCCCACCCCTGCCTGCCTGTGGCCAGGGAGGGCCTTCGCAGGGCTTCCTTGCACTCCCGCCAGCCTTGCAGGTCCACCGCCGGGCCCCTCATGGGGGGGGTGGAGCTGCAAGGCTGGCGGCAGCTGGGACCATTGGGGGCGGGGTGTGTGGCCTTATGACACACGTCCGGTGATGTCAGGGGGTGTAGCCTTATGACACACTTCCGGTGATGTCAGGGGGTGTGGCATATGCTAATGAGTTCCCCTAGCTCTTTTTCTACGAAACAACCCCTGGTTATGAGACTCACAACATTACCTTTCTGAGGGCCACGACGTATGTTATGAAAGCCCTGTGTAGGACCTCCTCCTGAGTAGAAGTAAACTTACCCTTCATGGATGGGCTCCTCAGGACTCTCACTCTCCACAACAATGCTGCTGGTGGTGACGTACACAGACATACTGGGATGTTCAATCAGGAGGTCCTCCATCGGGTTGCTCTCCACGCTGACAGGATCGGGACCTTCTGCAGTAAAACAGGGGGGAGGGGTAACAAACCAACTCTCGTCCATCAAGCAGGGGTCAGGCTGAGAGGGCATGGACCTGCTGACACAGTCATTGAGAGAGGGGGGCGAAGGCGTGGTAGGTGGAGGGGACCCACGGCGGCAATGAGAAGTGCAAACAGAGTCCTTCTCACCCACCCGCCGCTCTTTGCTAGAGGCTGAAGCATAACTATCTAATGAGAGACAACAAGAGTCCCCGCCCACACGGAATGGGAGCAGCCCGAACAAAACAAAAGCAAAGAAAATTAAAAACAAAAAGGAAACGCCACAGTTCAGAGCCATGCAAAGGGTGTGCAAGGCAATGCAGGGTGCAGGAAAGATTAAAGAAAAGTGGCACACACATTCGGTATACAATGGATGGGGAGGAGGGGGTGAGGGAGGGAGAAGAGAAAGGGGGCATTATTAGTATAAACGACACCCCAAAAGGCATTATTATACCTCATCCCAAAACCTTCCCTGAACAGGCAGGGATGGCCCAAGATGGTTTGCCACCCAAAGCAGCTACGTCTTGCAATAGCCAAGGGGTGAACCTCAGGATTGTGTGCAAGTGCCATTGCTCACAACGTGAGCTTTGCTCCCCAGGGTCCTTTGCAACACCGTCAGGCTTCCTGGGCTGCCGCTCTAAGGCTGCATGCGGTTTCATTGGTGCACCTAAAAAGCCACTGCCCTAAGTGACTGCTTAGGTTGTTTGCCCACATAGCCCAGCTGTGTGAAGTGTGATCCACCATGCCAAAAAGGGGGGGGGGGACCCAACCCAGATGCAAAGCAAGGCAGCTCTCCCAAGTGGGTAATCCAAGCACCAAAGGACCACGGAGTCACAAGAGCATCTGCAGGTAACAGCAAGGCTAACTCTCCCAGAAGGTGGAAGGAGGGAGAAACCAACTATTTCACAATGGCATGTGCTAAATGATCTGAATGTAGGCAAATCTAACATAGCACTGACTAAAACAGAGCTTTCCAGAGGAGGGAAATAAAAACTAGCAGAAGAAAAATGGGTGGAGAAAAAGGAAAGGAGCAAAATACCCCCCCTCCGATTGGTTCCAACTGCTGAGGTAGTACCAAAGGAAACTGTCACCAGTGGGAAGCTCCTATGCCCCCCTCCAAACTGACCTAAACCCCCCAGTACTGGACACAGGAGAACAGAAACACTCCACTTGACCATTTCAGGCTGCAACCCTACATGCCCCCAAGTCTCTCTGAAATGAATGCATATTATTATCAAATACTAATATGCATACTGGCCAGAGGAATAAGCAAAATTATTCTTAAGGACAGGGGTTTTCTACAACTGGACAGGTATAGAAAACCTAAAAAGTTCTTGAGTCATGTAGATTTTTAAAAACTATTATTATTAGCCACATAAGAAGAGCTAAAATATTTCCCCTACTGATCCAATTAGCAAAAAAGGTCA